CCAGGCAGGCGCTTTGCCGCTGAGCTAAATCCCCAGCCCCTGCTTTTTCACTTTTAAAAGTTGAAAGAAAAAAAATGTTTAACTTAGAGTACAATATCGAAATTATGTTCAAATAAATGCCAATTTTTGGTTCAAGTCTGACCTTTTCTGTGTTTTCATACACTAATAGATTATAAACACCTTGCTGCTGCCGGTGTGGCTCAGGGGTAAAGTGTTTGCTTAGCATCCATGAGGCTAATAATGCCCTGGGTTCAATCCCCAGCACTGCAAAAAACAAAATAAAACAAAACAAAAAAACCACTTACCTTAACAATCTTCAAGTTCTTGATCAAATAAATCTGACAAATAATGTTCTCTAAGAAAAAACCTTTCTGTTTTATTCCTACAAAGAAAAACATTCAAACAGGGAATCAACATACTGAAAAGTTATCATCTTAGTCTCATAATTTTCTTTTTCCATTATGTCCTCATCCACATACATTAATCACAACAAGTCATGATGTGAACAGCAGTGGAAAGTTTAATCATTGGACATTTGTACTTTCATTTTGAACCTCTATTTATAAGGATTTTTTTCAGTCAGGCATGGTGGTGCAAATCTGGAATCCCAGCACGGCCTGCAAGTTTGAGACCAGCCGGAGCTACTAAGTGAGCTCAAGGCCAGCCTGAATTACATAGTGACACCCTGTCTCAGAAACACCAAAAAAAAAAAAAAAATTTTTTTTCATTGTTTAGCCTTTAAAAAAATATGCGACACTACCGGGCGGGGTGGCGCACACCTGTAATCCCAGCACTTGGGAGGCAGAAGCAGGAAGATCGCTGAGTTTGAGGTCAGCCTGGGCTACAAAGTGAGTTCAAACCCAGCCTGAACAGCATAGTGAGCCTGACTAAAAAAAAAAAAAGACCAAACCCCCACGCCAAAATGTGACACATTTTTATAAACTTCAAATTTCTAATATACAATATAGGTAAGGCCTCCAATTTTACTATATTTAGAAAAAAATCCAAGATGAAGATGATTTCAAATGTATCACTATTTGCTTTGTATAGACATACACTACTGTGAAGGCATATTCCAAGTACCCAGCCTGCTATAAAAAATATATTAAAGTGATTATTCTTTGTTTTATATGCAATGCTTTCTTTTGGAATCAGACAAGAGATTTCCAACTATTATAAGAATTAACTTTAAAGGAAAAGAAGCAGAATTATTTGTAATAATGAGTTTGACACCGTGATAAAAAGAACAAGACTCAAGATCTCCTGAACCAGGTGTGGTGGTGCACACATGTAATCCCAGCACTCTGGGAAGGTCATCGAGCTTCAGCCTCATCTGGTCAACTTAGTGAGACTGTCTCAAAAGATTTTTTAAAAACAAGTTGGAGGTGCAGCTCAATATGAAGGTTCTAGGTTCAACCCCCAGTACTACAAAATTAAAGTCAAAACCACAAGTCCCAGGTAGTAACTAGTATTCTACCAATCAGGGACAGTCTGTTTCCTTGGCACTGTCCAAATTTTGCTCATGGGGATGAAAAGACCTCAAAGAGAAAAAAACAATGGAAGTATTCGGTAAAGTGTACTCATATGGGATAAAAATCAAGCTTGGGGGAAAAAGTCTGAATGCTTCAATGTACCTTCAGTCCACCCTTGGGCATATATCTGTATATACTGCATAAGTAATTACGAAAGTAACTACATAAATAATTGGACTTTATACCTTGAAAAACTCTGAACAGAAAGTTCAACCTTTCCAGGCTAGTATCACCCCAGAAAGTAACAGACAGAGGGATACTGGAATTCTACTTATTTCATTCCAGTCAGCTTCTGCAACTACCTCCTAGAAGAATTAAAAGCCTCCAAGAATTGGGAGTGGTGGTAGATGCCTATAATCCCAACACATGGGAGGTTGAGACAGGAAGATCTTTGTGAGTTGAAGGCCAGCCTGAGCTACACAGTGAGATTAAGGCCAACCTCGACTGCACAGTGAAATCCTGCCTCAAAACACACCACAAACACACACACACACACACACACACACACACACACACACAAGACAAACAAACTAGAGAACTGTGACTATTAAAAAAAACAAAGGCAATTAATTAGTGTAGTAGTAGCCAGGCTCCAAGATGGTTCCCAGTGACCCTCACCACCTCCTGGTATTCATCCCTGGAGACATTTCCTCTAACAGGGCACCAGCACTGGTCTCTGTGAACTGGAATACGGCAGAGGTGATGGTACAGTCTTCTTGGACTAAATTTCAAGTTTCCAAAGACAAGCTTCTAATTGGACTTTTTCTCCAGGAAAGCTGGCTTCAAAGACTCAGCCTATGAAATGGTTCACATGGCAGAGAACTCAATTTTTCAAATGACAGCCAGCAAGGAGCTGAGGCTGCCAGGAGGCAGTGTAGAGGTAACGCCAAGTTGAGTCTTCAGTTGACTATAACCTTATGCGACCACCCTGAGTCAACCATCCAGCCTATTGCCCAGATTCTTGGATCACAGAAATTATAAAGTAATACTATTCATTGTTTCAAATTACTAATATTAACTGAGGGTGTGAATCCATATCCCTAGAATCTGTATCCCTAACCACAAAGCAAATTATACAATCTATGAATTGACACCAATCCTAGAAAGCAAATCTACTGTGAGAAGTACTATTTAAAAATCCTGAGCTCGGGCTATAGCTCAGCAGCTCAGCACCTGCCTGGCAAGCGCAAGGTCCTGAGTTTGATTCCTGGCACACACATACATAACCTATAATCCCAGCACTCCAGAGGCTGAGATCATGAGATCATATCAGATCACTGTGCAAGTTTGAGGCCAGCATAACCTACACAGTGAGACCCTATCTCAAAACAAAACAAAAAGTTATTTGAAAACCCCATCTCTCTACATATAAAGCTGAGCACAATACCTGGCACACAGTAGCTGGTCAGTAAACACTAATTGTTCTTTTTTTGTTTGTTTGTTTTGTTTTTTCCGGTACTGGGAACCGAACTCACGACCTTGCGCTTGCCAGGCAGGCGCTTTGCCGCTGAGCTAAATCCCCAGCCCCCAACACTAATTGTTCTTATTCTTTCCCAAATGCCCAATTAAGATTCTACACCATGAAACAGGTGATTTGATTTCACCAAAGCCTTTATAAATCCCATTTTCTACTGGGACAATCCTTCATTTCCAAGTCACTGCTACAGTTCAGCAATATTTAATACATTTAACAGAGAAAAATGATATACTACCTTTCCTGAATATTTCAAATTATCTTCCAAGATCCACGTCTTTTCCCAGCACCTTCAAAAGTGAATTCCGGCCGGGCGTGGTGGCACACGCCTGTAATCCCAGCACTCTGGGAGGCTGAGGCAGGAGGATTGTTGGGAGTTCGAGACCAGCCTGGGCTACAAAGTGAGCTCAAGGCCAGTCTGAACTGCATAGGGAGACCCTGTCTCAAAAAGACAAAAAAAAAAAAAAAAAAAAAGTGAATTCCTACAAAAGACATTTTCTTTTAAAATTATTTGTGCAGTGGTCAATGCCCTTCACAGTAACACTTCCTTTAGTAAAGCTTACACATCCTCATTAAGTACTCAGTAATCACAGTGGTTCATTATGTGAACAGCAGTGAGAAGGTTTAATCACTGGATATGAAGTTACTAGAGGAAGCAGAAATGCAGTGTATAATCAAATAGTCAAATTGAGAACATCAATGTCACCAATAAAGCAAAGTAAACAAAAAAAGGTACAAAAAATTCGACTACCTGTCCAGAGTACTCTAAGAATATCTACAGCAGCGACCCCTACTGGCTTGGGCAAAGTGAGTTGGTTATTTAATAGTTCTATCCAATGATGGAGAATCTTTTGCAGGTTTCAATGATACAGAATCTGCTGCAAGCACACATGCCATGGACTCAACCACTGCTCTACGCCATTTAAATGACTCGACTCTGCTAAAAAGCAGCTCTCAATAGTTCATTTACAGTTAATTAGAAGAATGCTGTCAGGCTGGGAACAGTGGCGCACTCTTACAATGTCAGCTAATTCCAAGATTGAGGCAGAAGGACTGTTGCCTCAAAATAAAAAGCACTGGGCACATAGCTCAGTTCTAGAGTGCTTGCCTGGTGTGTGCAAGCCCCACGTCCAATTCCCAGCACCACCAAAAGAAAAGGTTAAACCTACTCATCCTTTTATGACCCAGCAAATCTACTGGTAGGTCAAGAAATCAAGAAAAATAAAAATCTATACCAACACTAAAAAACACAATTATCGCTATAGGCAAAAAAAACCCTGTTAACAAACCCAAATGTATGCCAGTTGATGAATGAATAAAATGTTGTATGCCCCTATAATGGAGTACAATTCAACAATAAAACGACATCCAGGACCAATATACTGTAAACATCTTCTAACTGATAGAAGTCAATCACAAAATCCCAAGTATTAGTTTGGAAACCCACAGACAAGGTAAATTAGCTGTGTCCAGGGTCTGGAAGGAGGGGCAGGTACTAAGAATACTTTTTTGGGGGGGCGATGAAATCTTTCTCAAACTGACCAGGCTCTTACATGCCTGTACTACCAGCTACTTGGAAGTCTGAGGTGCGAGAAAACTCGAGTTCCAGTTCAAGACCAGCCCGGGCAACAACATAGTGCGAACTCACCTTAAGTACAAAACAAACTGTTTTAAAACTGATTGGGACAATAGTCGCCCAAATCTAATCATATAGTAAAACCCACTGAACTTTAAATCACTAATTGTATGGCTGTAAGAACTATGAGTAGAACTGTTACATAAAGGTCTGGGGATGTAGCTCAGTGCAAAAAGCCCCTGGGTTCAATACTTAGTACTCCTCACCGAAAAACTGTTTTTAAGAAACTGACAGTATTTTAACCCACGTCCTATTCTCTACTTTACATCTTAGCAGCCAAACAAACATTTGCCCAGCATATCCCCCAGGGACCTATTTTTTTCCTCAAAGTTCCAAGATGTTACTTTTTGCTCGGCGTGGTGGCACACGCCTGCGATCCCTCCATTGGGGGAGCTAAGGCATGAAGAACGCCGCTAGTTCGAGACAGCCTACATAGTTCGAGACAGACATACATAGTTCAGTTCAAAGCCAGCCTAAACTACCAGTGAGATCCGGTCTCAAACAAAACCCAAAAAAAAAAAAAAAAAAAAAAAAAACCTTCAATTCGACCTCTCCGATCACGAGGACCGCACTTACCTCAACTGATTTCCCCCACTTTCCCCATCGCGGCAAGGCTCGGTGCATCCTCCAGCTCATCTGGAATCACAGAGATGTCGCCAACCACCACTCCCCAGCAGAGAGCTGCAAGATAAAACACAAGGAAACGAGTCTCGCCTCGGCAAATCATTCACTTCTGCCCGTCTGTCTTGCAGATTTCTGAGGCCCCAGGTTTCATCCCTCTCTCTCCCATCCCTTCCTCTCCTTACGTTCCAGTCCCTCTCAGCTCAAGGCTCGCAGCCGGAGGCCCATCCGCGTCCCCGGGGTTTCCATCATTTCTGATTCTGTCTCTGTACTTCGGTTTCTCACGCTGGACCTCACGAAAACCCTGATGGCGTCGGATTGAGCCGGACCATACCGGAACACCCAGAACAAAAAAAAAAAGCGGCTCCATCACACAAAAACAGCCACGCTGCAGCCCAACTCTCAGGAGGCGCTCAAGGGGCATGGCTCTGGGAGCCGGCCTTTCCCATTGGCTGTCGCGACACAACGTGAGCTATGATTGGCTAGGGCTTCGATCGCAGAGAGGCGGAGCTGTGTACCTCTAAAGCCCACCTTCCCTAATAAATACAGGTCGTAGCAGCCCAGTCAGCAGGCGGAACGAAATTTATGGTGACTCAAGGCGTTGCGGGAACCTCGAAGGTGGAACTCCACGTAACAAGAAGATGACCCGAAGCTGCTCTGCAGTGGGCTGCAGCACCCGTGACACCGTGCTGAGCCGCGAGCGCGGCCTCTCCTTCCACCAGTGCGTGTGAGAGCAGCCTCGAAGCCACGGACTCCACTGAGGGCCTGGTGGCTGCGGGATGGGTGGGGTGTCGCGCCGTCCATGTGACCCGCGCAGTGTGGGGCGGGGGCCGGAAGTGGGGGCTTCGAAGTTACGTTACTTCCGGCGCCTCCTGCTCTGTGGCGACATAAAGGTTGTGTGTTCTTTCTTCTATCCGCCGCTTGTCCAGTAACCTTGAGGTTCCTTTGGCGGAGTCCTTGTTCCCTGAGGTGGACTTAGGGTCTAAAGTGAGGTGCCTATAAGACAAACCAGTGGGGAGAGTGATTGTGCGCGTGCACTTCTATGGCTGAGCTTGGTTGCTTCGGAAGCAGGAGTATGGATCCGTTTTCGCCTCTACTGCCTAACAAGCAAATTGTTCGACCGGTCTGCAAGGCTGGACTGATTCTGGCTAGATCAGGTCTTGGCAAGGAAGTTTCATTTGGCTTAAGAGGGTATTAGGTAGAACAGGGCGTGGTGGACATACCTGTAATCCCAGCATTCAGGAGGCTAAAGCAGGAGGATCCTCACGTTTGAGGCCAGCCTGGGCTACCCAGCAATACTGTCTCAAAGAAAAAGAAAAAAAAAGAAAAGAAATTAGAAGCGTGGGGCAGAATTTTTAAACAGTCTAATCTGAATTCCTGGTACCTGCTGGAGTAGATCAATTCAAGTGAATGTGGGGCTGGGGATTTAGCTCAGCGGCAAAAGCGCCTGCCTGGCAAGCGCAAGGTCGTGAGTTCGGTTCCTGGTACCGGAGAAAAACAAAAACAAAAAAACAAAACAAACAAAAAAAAAAATCAAGTGAATGTTAAAAGGATGTTGGAAAGTTAGAGAAATGGGTAGAATTGATCCTCACACCCAAAAGACAGGCATAACCAAAGAAATATCCTGGTAAGATATTAATAGAGTTAAGCCAACAGGAAGTACTTATGAGAAAAAAGGATGGCACTTAGGAATTGTGTGCAAAATGTAGACAAAATGTAGAGGAGTGAAATACACCTTGACAAAACAGTTCTGAATGCCACGTTAAAGAGTTTCGATCTTGTGTGGCTGACTTTGCAAGTTACTGATTTTTTTTTTTTTAAATGGGGCTGGTCCCTTTACATAAGCTATTATAATTGTGTCCTTGCCTGTCTCCTCTGAGACTGTTAATTATGTAGCTCTCTTTGTTACTTTATTGATTGATTGGTACTGGAAATTGAACCTGGGGTCTTCTCACTGAGCTATATTCTGGCGCCCCCCCCCCCTTTTTTAAGTTTTTAGACAAGATCTCACTGAGTTACAGAATAGCTAAGGCTGGCCACAGATTTATGATCCTCCTGGTCTCAAATCTCAGAGTGCTAGGATTACAGGTATTTGCCACCCCCCTCGTCTACCAGCCAATTTTTGATAGTTCTTTGGATGGCTAGAAATTATACCTGTTCTGCCAGACATAGAGGCGCATGCCTGTCTGTAATCCCTACATTGGAAGGAAGGAAGAAATTATACTGTGTAAAAGTTGCTTCTCAAATAAATGCCATTAATTAAAAGAATCCAGTGAAAAGAAGTACAGTTGCCTCACCTTTATTGGCAAAACAATTTCCTATTCTCTTGATCAAGTGTATGACCTTTATAGGCCAGGTATGGTCTTGCCAGGTATGGCACTTGCCTGTAATCCTAGCACTCAGGAGGCTGAGACAGGAGGATTGCTGCGAGTTTGAGGCCAGCCTGGGCTACAAAGTGAGTTGGATGCCAGCCTGAACTGCATAGTCAAACCCTGTCTCAAAAAGACAAAAAGAAAGAAAATGTATATGATCTTCCTGAGGAAAGAACAAATTAGCCAGGCGTGGTGGCATATACCTGCAATCTCAGCACTCGAGGCTGATGTGGGAGGTTTGTTGTGAGTTTGAGGCCAATCTGGGCTACATAGTAAGTTTAAGGCCACTCTGAACTACCGAGGGAGACCCTGTTGTTATCCATCCCCACCTTAAGTGCTTTTGAAGGCCTTATAACTTCATGTGTTCTTCCTACAGCCTTATGCTGAGTTCAGTGATGGAGATATGAACCTAATGCCCTACACCTAGTGAGAGTTCTTTAGGCTTAAAATACAGGCTTTTTGAATAACATGTTCTTCCTCAAAGCAAGCAAGAGTAGAATTATGTTTAACCATAGTGCCTTGGTCTTTATTTTTTTGTACTGACAATTGAATCCTGGGGCCTTAACACTGAGTACCAATCCAGCTTTTTTTTTTTTTTTTTAATCATTTTACTTTGAGATAGGGTCTAAATTGCTCAGGTTCTTCTTGAACTTGGATTCCTCCTGTCTGCCTCATAGAGTGCTAGGATTACAGGTATATATCACCACACCCAGCTTGTTTGACCATACTCTTTTTTTCCTTTGTAAAGCAGGGTCTTACTATGTAGTTCACATTGACCTTGTTACTCACTATGTAGCCCACACTGGCCTTGAACTCATGGTAATTCTCCTGCCTCAGCCTCCTGGAATGCACGGTTTACAAATGTGAGCCACCATACCCAACTGCTTGACCACACTGTTAAACTTCTCTTTCCAGGCTTGAGGCCTGCCTAAACTACATAGCCAGACCCTATCTCGAAACAACAATAAAGATTAACTCTTACTGCATTTGGGTAAAGTCCTCAGTTTCTCCCAAAGAAATCTCTTAGGACTGCTTATACGTGGTAGGTAACTTACCTCTACCAAGCCATGCAGTTGGAAGAGCAAGGAGGAAGTCTGCCTTTTGTGACCTCATATTTAGCCACTTCTGCTTTCTCTATTCTTTAGCAAATCTCTAATTCCAGCCCATACACAAGTGGAGGGAGATTAGACTCCCACCCCTTCAAAAGACAAGTACAAGTATAAAAAACTTTGTGGCCTAGTTTAAAATTACCACAGGCAAAGTGTCATTTAACCATTTAAATTTGAACAGATTTCCTTAAGTATAGGCAGTGAACACCCTATTGGTAGGAGAGTTGAGAACTGCCCCCTCATTTGGTTTCAGTCACTTAAAATACTGAATTTTGGGGCTGGGCATGGTGGCGCACAATTATTTTTTTGAGACAGGGTCTCACTATGCAGTTCAGGCTAGCCTTAAACTCACTTTGTAGTTTAGGCTGGGCTCGAACTCATGATCCTCCTGCCTGAGCTTCCGGAGTGCTGAGATTACAGGCATGCGCCACTGCACCCAGCCAAAAATAAAATATTGAATTTTGGATTTAAAAAAAAACTTTGAAATTCGATAAAATTTTACTAGGCTTTATGTTTACCTACAGGAGTTGGTGAATGAGCTTTATGTAAGTGCTACTATAGTATTATCATAGTTATTTTCATGGTAATGGAACTTTACTATGGTTGCTATAGATTTCCAACTGATACAATACAGCGCTCAAAATGGATCAGGGCGGTCAACCGTGTGGACCCCAGAAGCAAAAAGATTTGGATTCCAGGACCAGGTGCTATACTGTGTTCCAAGCATTTTCAAGAAAGTGACTTTGAGTCATATGGCGTAAGAAGAAAGCTGAAAAAAGGCGCTGTGCCTTCACTTTTTCTATGCAAGGTACTGACCTCTGGATGCAAACACAAGCCTTTAAAGCTCAGGACAGAGCTGGGGATTTAGCTCAGCGGTACAGCGCCTGCCTGGCAAGCACGACGTTGTGAGTTCGATTCCTGGTACCAGAAAAAAACCACAAATAAATAAATAAATAAATATCAGAACAGTTCACATTAGCTAGAATTTGCAGAGATGAGAAAATCCCAGGTTTAAAATGGATGAAATAATGGATTTTAAATGCTTTCAAAGTTGTGTATTTTGGGGGCTGGGGATTTAGCTCAGCGGCAAAGCGCCTGCCTGGCAAGCGCAAGGTCGTGAGTTTGGTTCCCGGTACCGGAGAAAAACCAAAAATCAAAAAAAAAAAACAAAAAACAAAAAACACAAAGTTGTGTTTTTTTAAATGTCTATATAATGTTATTATTCTGTCCTCAAGCTTTTACAAAAAGTATAATCACAAAAATCACCTAGTAAATACAAACAGCCTTACAAATCAGGCTTTTGTTAAGTGTGTGCCAATTTTCATAATCCTTTAAAGTGATTTATCTTTTTTGGCTCCTACTGATAATGTTACTGGTTTTAACCAAAAACGTGTCTGATTATTCGCATTGATAGAAGAGAAAGTATATGTAAAATGACATTTCTAGAATGGCCATTCATGTTGGTGGCATTCTTGTCTCTCTTGATTGCAGCTATCTTTTTACATCACTGCAGGTCTTGAATGTGGCTTTCACTTTCTACATAGCCTGTGACAGTCACCTAACTGTTCTCACCTGAGCTTCCTCACTGTAACTCATTCAGGGTTGTGTTATTTCATTCCCCTATTCAAAACCTATACAGTTGGTGTCAAATTCAAATGCATGCATTTCTATGATCTGTGCACCTTTAATTGCCCTGAATTCAATTTTCAAACCACGTATACTTACTTTATATGTAATAAGCTGACCTGCTTTCATGCTTTTGTGTAAAATCAGTAAGAGCTACTTTTGTTTGAGACATATAATGGCCCGGGCATTGTACTAGCAGATTTACATAAATTATTTCATTGTATCTTCCAAACCGCATCTTATTGGTGAGGATGTGAGGGACCACAGAGTTTAAATCCAGGTCCATCTTAACTCCAAACCCCATGCTGTGTCCATCTCTTGTTTCTTTCACAGATAATTTCCCTGTCCTTTAAGCCATGTTACTATTTTTTCACAGAACTACTCAAAACTTAGTTCCAGGAACCTTTCCCAAATTACTATCACAAGGACCAGGGATATAGCTCAGTGGCACAAGCACCTGCCTGGCAAATGCAAGGTCCTAAGTTCAATTCCTGGTACCAAAAAAAAAGCCAGCCAAATTACTGTCTCTCTGGCTCTGGCTCTAGCTCTGGCTCTGGCTCTGGCTCTGGCTCTGGCTCTTTCTTTCTTTCTTTTGTGTACTAGGGAATGAATCCCAAGACTTTGCCCTGAGCTACAAACCCCAACCCTTTTTGTTTTTTGAGACAGGATTGCACTAAGTTGCCCAAGTGGAGCTTGAACTTGAGATTCTCCTGCTTCAGCTTCCCAAAGCGCTGAAACTACAAGCATGCCCCTCTATAACCAGCCCTTCTGGTTATTTGAATCATTTCAGAAACTCATCATCATATTAGTATTTCTGGATAGATGCAATCAAAAGACAAACAGAACATCTCTTTATACTGTTCTATAGACTATGCATTTTAAATTCAGAGTTTATGATCTTTTCTTTCGTATCTAACTCCACAGCAAGCAGGTGAGTGGTTTCTATTTTGTAGTATTTTTATAGATAATCTCCTATGGGGTGATTTCTAAAATAACCTTAATTTTCTGTTTCTGTCATAGCTTCCTCAAGGTGCACGTCTTACAGGTAAAGCAAGTCAGAAAATCCAAAAACAGCCACTTGCAGATGATTCTGAAGAGGTTACTACTGAAGACCATAACTATAGTTTAAGAAATCCCTGGGCAGAAGATACAGAGAGACTGTCTGAGGTGCAACAAATGTTAGAAGTGTCCGAAAAAAAAATTGGCTCTGTAAAAAACTACAGGATGATCAAGAGGAGGAAGGGCTTGCAATTAATTGATACCCTTGTAGAAGAAAAACTACTTTCTGAAGAAACAGAGTGTCTGCTACGAGCACAGTTTTCAGGTACCTCCTCCCAGTGGCCTATAATATCTGCAGCATGGCTCTATACTTTTTCTATTGTCTTTTTCTTGTTGTTTGTGGTTTAGTTTTTAGTTTTTTGTTCTGTTTTGTTTTGAGACAGGGTTTCACTCTGTAGTCGAGGCTGACCTTGAACTCACTATGTAGCCTAGGCTGGCTTCAAACTCTTGCCAATCTTCCTGCTTCAGCCTCCCGAGCACTGGGATCGCAGGTGTGCACCACCACACTCAGCTCCACTAAGTCTTTAATTTGACGTTTTGCATGAAAACATCTTTCGCTGAAAGTCTCAGTAGCACATACAAGAATGAAAAATAAACACCAAAGTCCTTTTATGGTCCCATAGTCTTCCAGTTATAAAAACAACAAGTTTAGAATAGAAAAAGCAAAGACAGCTGGGCATGGTGGCACATGCCTGTAATCCCAGCATCGGGGAGGCTGAGGCAGGAGGATCATTGCAAGTTCAAGACCAGCCTGGGCTACAAGTGAGCTCAAGGCCAGCCTGAACTGCATGGTGAGACCCTGTCTCAAAAAGACAAAAAAAGGTAGAAAAAGTAAAGACATATTTAAACAATAAAAATAATGCATAGTCCTCTTACCCAGAAATGAGATCATATATAATTTTCTATACTTTTCCTTTTGAGTATAGTTCTGACCTGTGCTACTGCAAATTCTTTATCGTTCTAATTGCTACAAAATTTATTACCAATGTCTTGTTGCAATGGAGTATAACTAGATAATTCGCAGTTTTTATTTATTTGTTCATTTTTGGAGACAGGATCTCCCCATGTAGCTCAGGCTAGGACCAAACTTACTTTGTAGCCCAGCTGGCCTCATGCTCTTGCCTCAGTTTCTGAAGTGCTAGAATTACAGATGCGTGCCACCACACCTAGCTCTGCAAAATCTCTTTGCGCTTGAAGATTTTATCAGTGTTTTTTCCTGAAATGTTCTACAGAATTGATATAAAAAGACTATTTAGACCTCCGTGTAAACCAGAAAAAGGGGCATAATAAATATCGCCAACTTACTCTTTCATGAAAGCAACAGACTTTGAACTTATTTTCTGGGAAAATGGAAGCATGTCCCTAGAAAAGAGTTGGTAGCTCCAGTCTTCTTTCCAGAGGAGAACAGAATAATGAGTAAGAGTCCCCACAGAAATAGGACTTTTCCTCCCAATAATAGACAAGATGGTCTATTAAACCTGAATAGCATCCTATCCCCCAAAATGTTTCTCATACATACCTAATTTTCACACTCAGATAAATAGTACAGAGGAAACAAAAGGTAAAAAAGTCCTTATAATCCAGAGATTTAGATTGGCCCACTTATTTGTTTCTTCCCTTCCTCTGAAAATCTCCAGTTAGGCTGCCAGTGAATAGTTAAAACATGATTCAAGATGAGACTTTTTATTTCCTATCTCTAATGAATTATTCAAGATGAACAGGACAGACTAGTCAAAAGGCCTTAAGTGGATATTGATCTGAAATAAAATGTACATAATATTCAGATTTTTTTTTTTTTTTTT